AAGTAGCAGGAGAGCACTGCATGAATATCCAGGGGCTGAAGTGGTACATTTTGCACTTGGAAGTGTTTAAAATGTTATGTCCATTTCCACTTCTATATTACTTAGAGCAGAGTATGCATAGACCATTTTGTATCCCATTTCTGAGTGTAAGAGTGAATGTGAGAGACAGGAAGGATATATTAAATTAAAAGGGAAAAGACAGAGAAAGCAAAAAAGCTAAAAGGAACCAAATGCTGAGTCACGGTAGCTGGTGTTATGGACTGAGGGTGCTACTAATGCGTCCCCAGAATACAGGACATCCCCTTGGTGGGGTGGGGGAACCATTGGTTCCTTTGGCCAATCGGCAAGGGGTGGGGAGGGCTCCTGTCACCTTGGCCAATCAACAGGGAAGGGTGGGGCTACCACAAAGGCCACCTCTCTCCCTCCTTCCCTGACTGGTTCAGACCCCTGCTTCCCCTGGTTATGCATTGCCTTAGATCTAGGCAGAGCTATAGAATCATGAGGACAAATGATTGACATATATTTCCACCAATGAACTGAAAAACAGTGCTTTTTGCATTCTGTTCCTCATTTAGAAATGGACAGGGGACGAAGGGTTTAAAAACAGGATAGTCCAATAGAAGATAGGACCAATGGCCACCCTATATGGATATAAGGAAGTATTATGAACCAAAAATGATACTAGCAACCATTATCTATAAATCAAGCTATGACCCTGCATCCTGTAGCAAACCTTGCATTTATAGTGGTACAGCAATGAAATACAATGGTCTATTGGTGGGAAGAATGCCTGTTCGGAGCTCATATCCATCAGTGGTGGTCTGGAGGTCATTCCCATATAACAGAGGAATAGAGAAGAATCACTTCTGCCCCCACTCCTCCCTCCAAAAGGAGGCAATGGAACTATAGTGCTTAGGGTTTTATTTTGGTCAATGAGCAGTTAAATTGGTTGTGAGAATCTACCCTTTGAACAGAGGATTCACTGCGGTTCCACACATACTTAAACAAGACTGTACACAAGGGGTGCTCCACCTCCAGCCTGTGGAGCCATGGCATCTGGCCCACAAGGCTCCCCACAGGTTGGGAAATTTGGCAGTGGGGGAGTAGTGGCAATACCCCCAGCCGCCCCTACTTCCAAATTCTTATTCTGGGCAGCCATTGCGGGGCCAGGTTAGAGCCAGGTGACGCCCCTTTTCTGCCCCCTCCCCAGGGCCAAGCCACACCCCCTGCCCTCCATCACATAAAGCTGAGTCAGGGCTGGGCCACACCCCTTTCCTCCTGCAGGGGTGGGTTGAGGCTGGGCCATACATTCTTCTTCCCCCCCACAAAGCTATGGCAGGGCCAGGCCACATCCCTTTCCCCCCAACCCTAAGAGCTTGGTTGGGGCCAGGCCATGCACATTTCCTTCCCTGTAGGTGCAGGTAGGGGCTGGGCCATGCCCTCTTCTCCCCCTGCCCCACAAACCTGAGTTGGGGCTGAGCCATGCCTTCTTCTCCTTCCCTCCCCCATGGTGCAGTGAGATAGGGCCCCACTAGGCCCAACCTGGGCACCAGGATCAAGACCACCAACTGGATCTGGCCCACAGATGAACTGGGCATTGTCCATCTGGCCTGCTGTGCAAAAATGTTAGGCACCACTGTGGTACACTATGGGTTGCTAACCTGCAGCATTACTACAAGTAGCACAGGTATCCTCTGTGTATAGCATGTGGCAGACTGGGGAGGGGTCAGGGAACATAGAGCAGATAGGGCAGAAAGCAGAGCAGCAGCAGGGAACACAGAGCATGAAGCAGAGCAGCTGCCTGATTAGGGAGCACAGGGCAGGGAACAGAAAGCTGAGCAGCAGATCAGGTAAGGGAAAGGGATCAGAGTGGCACTTGGGGAGGGTGCAGGACTAATTGGTGGCATACCTGCCACAAAGACTGGCCCTCACTACTGTACACTATGAGCCACTCTTCAATGCCTTTGCAGGGTTTTTGTAGTATAGTATCCTACAGTCTGTCAGTAATCATTTTAGATGGGTTCAATGGCTGTACTAATGTTCAGATTTAATCCAAACCTCTATCCCTTATCCTTTTTACAGCACTCTTCTAATAGCTACATTCATATTAGCTAGTTTAGCAAAATGCCTAAGAGAAAAATAGCAAGAGATAAATAGATTTGACAAAAATAGTAATATGATCATAAAGGTGTGTGGAGATTTGCCAGAGTTTGTCACTTGAACTTAGTGGGTCCTGCAACACTGTAGGCCTGGCATATTGGTTAGTGCTATTTCAGAATCCTGGTTGGAACTAATTTTGGTGTACACTTTCACTAAAAGACGTATGCTGTGAGGATATTCCCTGAAGTACTGCCTTCTCAGAAGAGCAGTACTCAGAATGATGCTGAAACATGAGATCGCATCCTGGCTACTTACACAGAAGTATGCACTGGGCACCAAGTATTTATTTCCTGCTGTCCATCCACTTGTACTGAAATCCATCAACAGGCTTCAGAAAGCTGAAGGCTGATTTAAACTATCGCAGTCTACTTTGCTACCAGATACTCCCTTGCTCATTTCTTGCAGCACATGCTAAAAAGTCTGTTTCTGTTCCTGATGTGATCTGAAAAGGTGGATTCAAAGACTGTCTAGTGACCATTACCATGTAAATATAGAAGTCTGATGATTTAATCTATGAGACTTTAGTTATTTGGTATAATAAATACAGCAAAGTAGCCAAGGAAATAATTAACACATCATTTTGTTTTTCTACACTTATGACAGAAACTTCTCAATTGCTTCCAGAATATCTGTGGAAGAGCCAAGCCCTTCTATGTCCAACAAATTACTATTCTTGCCATGAATGTTGAATAATTCAGTCTCTTCTTCCTTTTCATTTTCATGCTTTGCTTGTCCTTCATATAGGTTGGTTTCTGAGGTAGGAATGATAATGATGTGTGGGAGGGTAGCACTAATGATGGAGTCCAGACTACCAGTTTTTTGATTTCCTTGAGTTTCCATGTGTGAAGTATCCAAGCCGTCTCTGTTGCTACTATTCAAGGCAACAGGCAGAGAAGCTGTTTTTAAGGAACTGGGAACGAAAACTCTGGGGGGATTAGGTAGGACTGACTTCCCATGCAGTTTTTCTAAGCAGCTGGAGGAGAGTGAAGCCTAGGGTGAAAATAATACAACTTTTAGTTGACATATCACAACTACTGGTTATGCTGCTCCACTGAAAATAGTGTTTCAAAAGTCATGCACCAGTCTATCAATATATTAAGTACTGATATCTTCACTTATTTCTGTAAAGCTTTGACCACTGTCCCAAATAACAGAAAGTGCCAAATAATGGAATCAATATATTAAAACTTCCTAAATTGACAGTTTGGAAATGTGTGGCACATATTTATGTGAAAAAAATATTAAATGAAGTAGAGGCATGCAATTGAGCAATCATTATAAAAAATTATACACAGAAAAGAAAAAGAAAAGGAGGAACAGTGTAATCTTGCATCAGATGCATCATGCATGTTATTTTTCAAACATCTAGAAACATGTCAAAGTGTCATATTGTGGTACCCTTTAGAGTTTCATTAATTAAACCAAACTTTCTGAGAACACTGCAAAATACTAAGTGTCACAGGGAATTGATTGGTCATCGTCTAGTGTCTGCAAGAATTACAGTTGCAAAAGCCTGGAAGAGAAATGACACGCTTAGAATCACTGAGTGGTTTAAAAAAAAAGTTTAGGACATTTTACTCATGGAAGAGTTGTCCTATCAAGTCAATGTAATACAGGGCCTAAAGGCATAAAGATGCCTATATGGAAATCTGGTGGAAAGTTTTGGAATCTTCTTCTGCCTCCAAACCAGAAAATTTGAGAAAAATTTTTTCAATATTGAAGTGCAAGTTCTATGAATGAACAAATTCAAAATAAATTTAGAATTAATTTAAAAATTATAAGCAAAAAAGAGAAGAAGATAGTGAAATTTGTGTTATGCACGGTTACAGGGGAAAGGAGGGGGTGAATTATTAGAGATGGAGAAAAACACAGGGACTTGGCATTGACAGAAACACCAAGGAACTGCTGGAGACTGGTAGAAGGAGAGGAAGAGAACACAAAAGACTTCTATGGACATTGATTCAGATTGTGGTAGCACTGCTGAAAAAGTATTAATGCCTGTCCTTATGTATATTTTGCCAGGATTTAAATGTTAAATATGTTATTTTATGGGTTGGACGAATTATTAAATTAGGTTTTTTAAAAAAGTATGACATTCAACAAGGCACTCTAAAAGAATCTGCAAAAAATAAAAAATTTGAGGAATTAAATTCCATTTCCCCAGTTGTAAATGCAGCAAACATTTTCATAGCTGTCATCCAAAATGATTCTGAGGTATTTCTTGCTGCCAGTAGATGGCTGTATGACCACAAGAAACAGAGAACATCTTGATTAACACAAATTAAGGTAAAAGAAATTCCAGTGCTTTTGCTTCACAGATTATTCACTTTCATCTGCCTAAAACTCACAAGAAGATGCAGATGCAGATGCAGTTGTAGGAGTATTTAAAAAAGCAGTCACTACAACTTTAAAAATGTAAATGACAATTTAAAGCTCTTGTAAAGTTATTAATATGTTTGGAATTTGCAATTGTTAAAAGGCTGCATGAAGAGCATGTAAAACTCTTTAATAAGCTCATCTGAAGAAACAGAGAAATAAGAGAAAAAATATAGACCTTTGTTACAAAATCAAAATAAAACCTATTTTATTTCCCTTTCCTGTCATGTAGCTAGGAGCCAGGCATGCTGATAACGATTCTGAGATTCTGACAAAGACTGCCTTCTCTGACTTTTGACAAGCCACATAACCCCTTTGTCTCAGGGCTACCACATGCAAAATGAATCTAATACTTACGGGAATACTGTGAAGATTATCTAGTCAATGTTCAAAACACTCTAATGACTGAAAATATGAAGTATTAATATTGGCTTTCCTAAAACAATTACAATGATAGTTATAAAACCAACTTTGCGGTGACTCTGTGCCCTCGATAGGATCCACCACTTGTTTAAGAAAGTAACAACTACCACAACTGTCTCCCCCTCCAGAGAGGGATATTTACAAGGGCTGTGTGAAGCTTTGGTAGCTGATTCAATTCAGAGGAGATTCGGCCTGATTTGGCAGCTGAATTTTCAAATCCGAATTTGTCTTGGGGGCTGTGGTAACATGGGACACTTACCTGCAGCCCGGGACGAAAGTTGTGCAGAGCAGGAAGAGGAACCCGTGTGGCTTGTTAGCCGCCTCTTTGTACAGCTATGGCCAGCCGGTGATGTCAGCATCAGATGCCAGCCGACAGAGTTAAAAATGGCAGTCGCTGCTCCAGAGGGGGCGGATAGCCGGGAGAACAGGCTGCAGCCGGTGCCAGCAGCAGAGTGGGCTCCACGGGCAAGCCTCCAAGGATCCAGCAAGTCGGAGGGGCTGGTGGCTGAGGAAGGAGGCACTGTAACCTGGATCTTGGCTGGTTTCCAGAGGAGCGACAGGCCGACCAAGCAAGAGAAGGCAGGAGCAACCCCGGGAGCGCCACGGGATCCTAAAGTGAGTGTTGGGACGGCAGGCGTGGAGGACGCTGAATAATGGACTAAGAGCTGAGGACAACCCGGCAGGAGGGTAAATTGGGGGGGGATTGCCGCCAGGACATTCGGACATCAACGGAGGGGTCTGAGCCAGGCGAGAAGTAGCTGTTAGAGGGAAGTGCCCTCCCCACCCATAAGGGTCCAGGGACGGTGGTGGTGGGTCGGTTAGGAGTAGTAAGGACTCCAGAGTCCCTGAGTTAAGGGAACGGAGACCAGAGCTGTGCCCCGTGGTGGGGTTGTGGGGAGACTTCAATAGAGATGACGGCGAAGGTCCTGTACAGGATAGGGTTAGGGCATACGACACTACAGGGTTAGTAGTGTCCCCCGTATTTGGCCCCAAGACATAGAGCGGCAGCTGAGGCCTGCGGGGAAAACCATGGGCAACGATATGGCAATGCATCGAAGGTGGTGTGAGGCCGGGATGTAGGGGTGGCAAAGCCCCGTGAGCAACTGTCAGGCCTTGCCCGGGCCACCAAGGGACCCGTGAGCTAGCCCCGCCCACTGAGGAACATCAAGTCGTGGCAGGAGAGAATGGGGTTGGTGGCATGGGAGGAAGAACTACCCCGGTGACAAACAGGCCGGGAAGGGGTGGAGACAACCACAAGGAGATCAGAGCCACCCTAGGGCGGCTGGGGAAAGCCCGGCGGTCGCAGAATTGAATCAGGAAACCCATTAATTTCTCCAAATCGAATCAGAAGCCTCCAATTTGATTTGGAGAGAGTCGACAATTCAGCCATAGACACAGTTTTATATGTTTTTTCTACATACCTAAAGGTACCAGGCATGGCTTGTGAAAGCTGAGATGCTGGAGTGGATGGAACATCCCACAAGAGCACAAGGGGTCCCCTGCATGCTTGGCAATGGACCCAGAAGTGGACCAGAATTACTTCCATTCCACTTCTGGGTCCACTGTGAACCATGCGGGGGACCCCCACCCCCGGTAACTGATGCCTCCTGGGTCTGGGGGGGTACCCAGGGTTCCCACTGCAGTCGATAGCTGAACTGGGGTGTGTGTCTGTGTTTGTGGGGGAGATCTCCTGCGCGCTCAGCGGCAGACCCAGAAGTGGAATGGAAATACTTCTGGTCCACTTCTGGGTCTGCCACCAAGCATGTGCTCCCCCTCCCCCACTCCTGTGGGACGCTCCATCCGCCCCACCATCTCAGCATTCACAAGCTGCGCCCTGGTACCTTGAAGTATGTAGAAAAAACATATAAAGCTGTGTCTATGACCAAATCGCTGGTTCTCCAAATTAGAATCAAATCTTCAGATTCAGCCAAATCAAATTGGGACAGTGATCCATATCAGCGAATGGAATCACTGTCCCCTGAATTGGTCTGAATCTGAATCTGGATTGAATACTGCCTGCTTCACCCCGCCCCCCTAATATTTACTGTGATAGTAGTGAAGCAGAAAGATACTAAAACCACAGGAAGAGGGAATTAGCTGAGTGAGCACTTCTTCTGTTTTGGAGGGTGTTTGGCAGTGAATTCTTATACATTCAGGCATGGAAAAAGTAGGCTAGTTCTTAGACATGACAGGTACCATCCTCTGTAAAGCGATGAGACAGCAGAATTCTTATTAATTTCAAGCCCCTGCTGACTCACAAGAGTGTGACAAGCAGAGAGAGTGGGACAACAGCTTCACAAGGACACACACAGAGTTGTTGGCAATACATAAGTCTCAGCAAGTCACCTGAAGAGGTGAGAACATTGAAGAGGCCACAGTCTTTGAGAGCTTGTTGTTTTCCCTTGGAGCAGAAGACCTTCTTTTTTTTTGATGTACCCTTTGGAGTAAAGTTAAACCATGAGCCTGCAACCTCAAGAATAGGTACAGACATTCAAAAGCCAGAGGCAGATTTGAACAGACTCATGTGGGTTTCTCTAAATGGACTACATTAGTTTGGGAGTGAACAGAATACAACTTTGCCCCTTTTGGGGGGATGGGGATTGGGAAACACAGGCTGCCTGCAGTGGTCAAGGCCGATAGGTTGGGGGCATTCCTGTATACCTCCCAGCATGCTGGAGACTGCCAGGGGCAACCAAATGCAGCTGAGTGATAGGCCACCCATGACTGGATGCTGGGCATATGCCCCCAACCCTCTTCCAAGGAGGACCTCAGAACAGGTCACCATGTCATGCCCCCCCTGCTGCCACTGGCTGAGCTGCCTAGCGTGCCATGGTGATTTGCTCTGAGGCTCTTCTGGAAGGGGCTAGGGGTATGTGCCTGGCAGACAATCAGGGCTGGACTGGCCACTCCACTGAAGGAAGGATTGGAGCCTTCAGAGCACTGGCAAATTGCAGGCAGCAGAAGCAGGTGCTCAGCACGATTCCTGCACTTGCAATTACTGCAATCGTTTTGGCTGCCTGTTGCTTACTGCCCCCTCCTGCCTACCTCAATCACCTCTACATGCACTGAAGGCTAAACAGTTGGTGCTGTGTGCATGGCTACTAAGACTACCCCTACTCCTGCCTTTGAAGCCCCAGTGGGGTTTGCAGGCTGGGCAGAGGTCCTGTCGGCCTCATACAATGTTGGGGGCT